CTTGAATAAAATAAAAATCACAATATATCAGAATTTGCGTGGTACTGCTATATTATTGTTGTTATGTGCTGTAGAGTCTGTTCCAACCCATAGTGACCCTGTATAGAGTTTCCAAGGAGCAGCTGGTGAGCTTGAACCACCAACCTTGCAGTTCAAACGGCTTTGCAGTCTGGCTTATAGTAATTTAAGTAAACAGCACGGAAAATAGCTCTGAAAACTCATTTTTCTTGTTTTTAGTGCTATTGAGTTGGTTTCGACTGCTAGTGATCCTGTGTAGGGTTTCCTAGGAGTGACTGGTGAGCTTGAACCGCCGATCTTGAGATTCAAACCAACTTTGCAGTCCAGTGCATTAACCCACAGCGCTACACCAGGAGTCCTAAGCTATGTCACAAATCAGTGAACTCAGTTTCCACCTTAGGAAATAAGAACCAGAGGAGCAGACAAAACCAAAGCAAGCAGGAGAAAGGAAGAAATAGAGTGGAAATCAATCAGATAGAAAATAGGAAAGCAACAGAGAAAATCTATGATTCTTTAGCCAAATTTTCAGGACAAAAAAGGTGAAAACATAAATGACCTATGAATCACTATGTCATGTACAGAATAGTACAGAATAAAAGGAGTCCTGGTGTGGTTCTGTGGGATAAAGCACTGGACTGCAGGATGGCGGTTCAAACCCTCCAGCCGCTCCTCGGATCGCTGTGAGTCAGAAGTGACTGGATGGCACTTAACAACTGCAGCATGTAGAAGAGTTGGGTTTGTAGTTAAAATATTACTACAAAGAAAACTCCAGTTCCATATAGCTTTACTTTTGAATTCAACCAAACATTTAAGGAAGCAATTCTGTGTGATTATTATTTTATATTAGTATATAAACTCTTCCAGAAAACAGAAGAGGAAAGAATACTTCAACTCTTGTTGAGGTTTTGTTGTTAAGTACCTTTGGGTCGGTTCCGACTCTTTGTGACCCTGTATAGGGTTTGCAAGGAGTGGTTGATAGGTTTGAGCAGCTGATGTTGTGGTTGTTGTTGTTAAGTACCATGGAGTTGGTTCCGACTCGTGACCCTGTACAGGGTTTCCGAGGCTGCAAATCTCTATGGGGGCAAAAGCCTTATCTTTCTGCCGCAGAACCAAACCGCCGACCTTGAGGTTAGCAGCCCGTTTCTTAGCCACTACGTTAGCAGTCCAATATTTATCCTACAACACCATACCAGGATTTCAATATCTGAGGCTAGCATTACTTTATTGTCAAAACTCCGAGCAAATGACAACTGAGTTTCATAAAAGCAGATGTAAAAATACTAAGTACTTTAGCAATGAAATCCAACCTATAAAACAAGGGGGCTTCAAAAAGTTTGTGAAAAAATGCAATGAAAAGATCATGGAGTTTTTCCATGAATTTTTTGAAGCCCCCTTTTACATCTTGATCAAATAGGGTTCACTCCAGGAATGCAAGGTTGTTTTAACATTTGTAAATCAGTGTAATTCTCCATAATAAGCAAAAAGGAAAGCCATATGTTCATTTTAATGAAGGCAATTCCTAATAAAACTCAGTAAATTATAGATAGAAATGAATTCTGCCTGATAGAAGACAGCTACAAAATAATCTCCAGCAAACATCATACTTAGCAAGAGAAAGACGAAGCTTTCTGCTCCTGTGAAGATTTAAAGCCTCGGAAACACTATACAGGGTTGCTGAACCGACTCGATGACACTGAACAGCAGCTGCATCATATTTAATGGAAAAGACTGAAAGCTTGCCCAGCCCTGATCTCTGCAAGGGAACCTGCTCTTCTCACTCAGTTTATCATTGTAGTGGAGATTCTGGCTAGTGCTGTGGGGCAAGGAAAAGAAGTCAGCAGTATCCAAATTAGAAAGGGAAAATGTCTATGTATAATGTTTCATGTAATCTGTAGAACAAAGCTGCTAGAACTAATTGAGTTTACCAAGGTGGCAGTATACAAGCTCAATATACAAACATCAGTTGTGTTTTTATGTGCTGCTGTTGTTATGGTTAGGTGCCATTCAGTTGATTCCAACTCATAGTGAGCTTGTGTGTTTCCAGGGAGCAGCTGGTGGGTTTGAATCGCCAGCCTTGTGCTTAGCAAGTAGTCCAGTGCTTACCTTACAGTACCACAGGAGGACTAGAAGCAAACAAATGAAAAGTGGAAAAAAAAATATCAATGCCATTTACAATAGCATCAAAAATACGGAATACTTAGAGAAATCTGATGAAGATATGCAAGTCCTATACACTATAAAAGGAGCTCTGGTAGCGTAGTGGTTACGAATCGGGCTGCGAACCATAAGGTCAGCTGTTCGAAACTACCAGCTGCTCCGCGGGAGAAAGATGAGGCTTTCTACTCCCGTAAAGATTTACACCCTTGGAAACCCTGTACAGGGTCGCTATGGGTCGGAACCGACTCGACGGCACTTAACAACAACAACATACACTATAAACAGTATAAACCATTACTGGGAGAATTAAAGGCCTCGATTATTGTTGTATGTGCTGTTGAGTTAATTCCAACCTCATAGTGACCCCATGTAAGAGTAGAACTGCCCACAAGGTTTCCTAGGTTGTAATAGTCATGGGAGTAGACCCCTTCATCTTTTACAGAACAGAACAGCTGATGGATTTGAGGTGCTGTCCTTTCAGTTAGCTGCCAAGTGTTTGATCTTTGAGCCATCAGGGCTGTTTAAGTAAATGAACTTTGTTCATGAGTCAAAAGATTCAGTATTGTTAAAATACTAATTATTATTTTTTAAATGTTTTATTGTGAATTAAGTGATAGTTTACATACTAGAACATTAGCTTTACATTCATCCTATCATATATCATGTCATTGCCATGTTACAATTCCCTCCATGCATCATCAACCAACCAAAGCCTGCCCCTTAGTCGTCAGGACACAAGATACTCATTCTTAACTATCTGATCCATATTCAACACAGTTTCATTAAAATTTCAGGCGATTTCTTTTTAGGAATTGTCAAACTGATTGGAGTCCCTGTGTGGTGCAAATGGTTCATGAACTTGGCTGCTAACCAAAAGGTTGGAGGTTTGAGTCCACCCAGAGGTGCTTCAGAAGAAAGGCCTAGCAGTCTATTTATAAGAAATCAGCCATTGAAGCCTGTGGAGCAGTTTCACTCTGACACGCATAGGGTCACCTTGTGTTGGAATCCACTTGATGGCAACTGTTTTTGCCAAGCTCATTGTAAAATTCATTTAGAAATGCAAAGAATGTGAAATATCTAAACAACTCTGTTAAAGAATAACAAAGTTAGAGATCTTACTCTGTCTGACTCAGCACTGTATAAAGTTTTGTTGTTGCTGTTAGCTGCCATCGACTTTGCACCGACTCATAGTGACCTTATGCACAGCAGAACGAAACTGCCCGATCCTGGGCCAACCTCACTACTGTTGCCATGCTTGAGTCCATTGATGCTGCCACTTGGCCAGTCCATCTTGGTGGGGCTCTTCCTCTTTTTCTCTGACCCCTCCACCTTACCAAACATGATATCCCTCTCCAGCGACTGGTCCCTCTTGACAGTATGTCTGAAGCATGAGAGATGAAGCTTGGCCATCTTGGCGTCCAAGGAGAACTCTGGCTGCACTTCTACCAACACGGATCTGTTAGTTCATTTGGCAGCCCATGGCACTTTCAATATTCTCCTCCAACACCATAACTCAAAAGCATCAATTCTTCTACGGTCTTCCTTATTCATTGTCCAGCTTTCACATGCATATGAGATTATTGAAAATACCATGGTTTGAGTCAGGCGCACCTTAGTCCTCAAGCTGACATCTTTGCACTTCAACACTTTATAAAGGGCTTGTGCAGAAGATTTGCTTAATGCAATATGTCCTCTGATTTCTTAACTGCTGCTTCCGTGAGTGTTGATAGTTGTTCCAAGAAGAATGACGTCCTTGACAACTTCAGTCTTTTCTCCATAAGAATGTTGTTTATTGGTCCAGTGGTGAGGATTTTTGTTTTCATTACATTGAGATGCAATCCATATGGAAGGGTGTGCTCTTTGATCTTCATCAGTAAGTATTTTAAGTCCTCTTCACTTTCAGCAAGCAAGGTTGTATCATCTGCATATCGCAGGTTGTTAATGAGTCTTTCTCCAATCCTGATGCCACATTTTTCTTCATATAACCCAGCTTCTTGGATTATTTGCTCTTTGCTCAGGTTGAATAAGTATGGTGAAAGAATACAACCTTGTCGCACACCTTTCTTAATTTTAAACCATTCAGTATTCCCATGTTCTGTTTGAACAACTGCCTGTTGGTCCAGATACAGATTCCTTATGAGCACAATTAAGTGTTCAGGAATACGCATACTTCACAATGTTGTCCATAGCTTGTCACAATCCACACTATTGAAAGCCTTTGTGTAGTCAGTAAAGCACAGGTAAACATCTTTCTGATACTCTCTGCTTTCAGCCAAGATGCATCGGACATCAGCAAAGTTTTAGGAAGTGTGAAATTGACATCAAGATAGACTAATCGATCCGGGCAGCAGGATAAAGTCCATACATAGACACACCCACATAGACACACATTGCTGGGTTGTTTGTTTGTTTTTGTTTTTTTTTTTTTTGGTAGAAGTGTCCAAAGGATAGTCTTTTTAATAAATGGTGTTGAGCGGTGGGATAGCCATATGAATAGTTTATTATTTTTTAGTGGAAAATTCTTGAACTGTATTTATGCAGTATCAGGCTGCTAGTACTATTGTTGCCTTTTGGCCTTAAACATTGGTCCACTCAAAGAATTGTGGAACAGACTGATTAACCTAGAAGTCTGATAAAGTTGAAAAAAAAATCACTGTACTTGGCCACTTCAGAGATTTAGTAAAGTTTTGAGACATGACATAAAGTGGAATATGTATTAGTTAATATATACCTATTAACTTCCTATGCAACTGGAAGTCTATTTCTAAATATTATTTTTACGTTTTCAGTTCTTATTTATTATCTCTGATTCTCCTTTTTTATAGGTTGGGAAGGAAAAAATGCTCAAGGTGAAGATTGTGAAGATTCATCCTTTGGAGAAAGTGGATGAAGAGGCCACTGAGAAGAAATCTGATGGTTCCTGTGATTCTCCATCAAGTGACAAAGAGAATTCCAGCCAAATGGCTCAGGACCATCCCAAGAAGGAGGCAGTTCTAAAGGAAGATGAAGGAAGGAGGGAAAGCATAAGTATGTGTGATTTAACTTTCCTTAGTGAGCTAGGAGACTGGTTTATCATATACGAATCTTTAAAATTTGTCTAACTCACTTTGTCATTGAGTTTTGTCCCTTTGTTGTGCTGTCACAGCTTGAGTGTTGCTATAAGGCAGGAAGCTGTGCCATTGGCCTCGTGATTAGCAGCGGTCGTCTGTGGGTGCAGCAATCATTTGTCTTAGTTTTCTTCTCTAGTTCTGCTATAACAGAATACCACAAGTGGATGGCCTGAGCAAACAGAAATGGCATGTTTTTCTCAGTTCTGGAGGTTAGAAGTCCGCGAGAAGAGTGTGCTCTGTCCCCTGGCTCATAGGTGTTCTTCATGTAGCATGACATCTGTCCCCTGTCTCTGCTTGCTCACTTGCTTGTCTTGTCTCTTATGAAGGTATACCCTATACTACAGTATTCTAATATAATAAGCTCACTAATAGAACAAAAGAACCCATTCTCAAATGAGTTTATGACCACAGGTATATGCAGCACATTTTGTAGAGGATATAATTTAATCCACGACACACTGTAACGTCCAAAATAAAATAAACTAGGAAGAAAAGCCTGGTAATCCATATCCAAAAATTTGCCAGTGCAAACCTCATGGCTCATAGAATACTGTCCACTATAGTATTGGCATTCTGGTGTGGCTCCCTAGGGTAAGCCCTGGACCTTAAGGCCATTTTCACCCACTGCTGTATGGCGCTTAGCAACAACATAGTGGCGACAGATGGCAGAGGACTGAGCAACTTTTCATTGTGTTATATATAAAGTGGTGATTGGCCCAAACCAACTTGACGGCAGCTAATATGAAGAAGCAGCTAAATTTGTACTTGTGTTTTATAGACATAATTTTTTCATCTGATTCAGAAAACAATGATAAATTCCATAAAGTGAACCAAGACTTAAATCTTTCAAAACAAGACAATCAGAGGCAGTACAAGTAGTGTCTGGATTTTGACATATTTCAGTTAACGATGAACTACACTTAGGCCTGTCAGAGTATGGTTTTGGGGGGGCGGGGCACACCTTATTATTAGTAATAAGTAGCTCTGTGGGCACAGTGAGTGAAGTGTTGGCAGTTTGAATCCCTTAGCTGCTCCATGGGAGGAAGATAGGCAGTTTGCTTTTGTAATGATTGGTAGTGTGAGAAAGCCTGCGGAGCAGGTCTCCTCTGCCCTGTAGAGTTGCTGGGAGTCAGGGTAACTGCTGTGGGTTTGGCTCTGCTGCTGTTAGTAGTGTGTACTGTTTACAATCTTGTACATGTAAACATTCTCAGATGTTCAGTATTATTTATTAAGGTACTGATATTAAAAGCCAATAATAATAAGAACTTTAAAAGGTATGCAACAAAAAAATGAGGTATTCAACTTACAACGCAAACCGACTTACAGCGGAGTCATCGAAATGGTACCTTGATGGAAGTCGGGGACTACCTGTACCTCTAGTTGCTTAGACGTTTTAGTGACTTTAACTGCTTAAAAAGCCTGTTTTTCTTTTTGTTCTCTCTCTCATTTGTTTTTTCTTGTGTGATTTTGGTGTGAATTTACAGAGTAAATTGGCTTTCTAGTCAAACATTCATATACATTTTGTTTTGTGACATGACTTGCAGCCCCCACAATATACAGCATTCTTCCTATATCTTTCATATGCATACTGTTTGTTCTCTTTCTTTCATATTCCTTCCTGTCTTCAGAGCTTTCTTTCTGGACAAATACTGCACTTTTGATTCCATGTGGTTGATGAAGAAATACATATTTTCCTGGTAGTATTCACTTGTCATTTGGCTGAAAGTAGAGCCATGCGGTGAGGTCAGTTAGGTTAGTGAGGGTGTTAGGCTTGAAGGGTGTCTTAAGGGCCTCGTCTTAGGGGTACCACCAGTTTTAATCAGACCATTAAGCCTGGTCTTCTTTTATGATTATGAGTTTTGTTCCACAGTTTTTCCTACTCTATCCAGGACTTCCTAAGGAGCTCTGGTAGCGTAGTGGTTAGGAGTTGGGCTGCCAGCCTCAGGGTGAGCAGTTCGAAAGTTCTGTTCCCGTAAAGATTTATAGCCTCAGAAACCCTGTGCAGGGGTCACTATGAGTCCGAACCAACTCCATGGTACTTAACAACAACAACAACAACGATCCAGGACTTCCTATTACAAGCTTTCTCAGAATAGTCAGTAGTGGCAGCTGGCCACACCATCTAGTTCTGGTCTAATAGGTACATGTGTGTAGAGGGCGGACGATCAGATGTAGAATGGTCAAATTAACCTGTTTCTCTTTACATTGCAAGCCAATATGATGGTTTAAGATATTTCCTCACAGCTATATTCTGTAATTCAGATAGGAGTTGCTAGAATTCTGAAATATTGTGATGTCTAAAGTAATTTTTAGGGATCTGGAGACTTTAGCACTGACACTTTGAAAGTTGAAGAACTGAGATAATGCACACTGGGAAAATGTTTCTGCCTCTGAGGTCTCCTCCCAAACACGCCCCCCCGCCCCCCGAAATCTGTGAAAATTAGGAATTTGGTTGGAGCAGATTTCTTGTTTCTAATAACACGAGTACACTTTGTCCCCCTCCCTACAATTTTGAGTCCACAGTGGCACCTAGGTTAGACTTTGAAGTGCCGGAGCTGTCTGCCTACAGGAGTCTCCCAGCAATAAACAAGTACTCTGCTGTCCTGTCTCCATTTTCTTACTGGGTTAGCAGGCACTTCTGTCTCCTTAGCTCTTAAGGCAGAAAACTGAGAAACCATGAACATTCCCATTCTTGTTTTGTGACTGTATAGGTCTTCTAAATACTTCTTGAATCTGTCCTTCTTTTAATTTTAGCTACATTACTTCTGAAGTTTGTTGTGTCTTCTGACGCCCTATTTCATCTTCCCCTTGTTCTTCTGATCAGAGTGTTTTCTTTTTCTTAATTTGTCCACACTTGTAATCATTCCAAAATGCACATCTGGTCCTTTATTTATTCAGTGCCAAGATGAGGTATAGTTTCTCCAAGTATTGTATAAGAAAGACCCTTCGTAGTCTGGCCTCTGCTGGTCTCTTTATTCTGTTTCCTTAGTGCAGTATACCTTGGATCCATCCACACCTTACTGTAGGCATATCTTGCTTTATTGCTCTTCACAGATACTGTGGGTTTACTTGTGTTTTTTCCATTTTGACAAATTGAAGATTGTAGCCATTCTGTGCCCAACAGCATGTGCTTACTTTGTGTCTCTTGTTTCACATTTTGATCATTCGCACAATATTTCAGACTTTTTCATAATGCTATTGAATGCTTAATAGACTATGGTGGTGGTTGTATGCCCTGGAGTCTGTTCTGACTCATAGTGACCCTGCATCAAGTTTCCGAGGCTGTAAATCTTGATGGGGAGAAAGCCTCATCTTTCTCCCACAGGTTTCGAACTGCTGACCTTAAGGTTCGCAGCCCGATTTGTAACCACTGTGCTACCAGAGTTCCTTTTAATAGATTGTTGTTGTTAAGTGCCATCAGGTCGGTTCCGACCCATAGCAGCCTGTATAGGGTTTCTGAGGAGCAGCTGGTGAGCTTGAATCACTGACCTTGCAGTTCGAACGGCTTTGCAGTCTGGCACATTAACCCACAGTGCCACACCAGGATGCCAGTATGGTGCAAACATAACTTTTGTATGCACTTGGAAACAAAAAATAGTTCTGTACATGGGGCAGATTAGGTAGTCAATACAATTATTGTCAATGAATGAATGAAAAGAACCTTTTCCCCACTAATATTCTTTTCTGTTGGTTTAACTAGATGACAGGGCACGTAGATCTCCACGAAAACTCCCAACTTCACTAAAAAAAGGAGAAAAAAGATGGGCTCCTCCAAAATTCCTGCCTCACAAATACGACGTGAAACTGCAAAATGAAGATAAGGTTAGTTGGACTTTACATTGCACTTTGTTTATGGTCTGTGTGGTCCTGGGAAAGAATAGAGTTAGTTTTCTCTTAGAAACGTGCTAGAGTTGCCAGTGCTGACTTTTCTACAATAAATTCTGAGTGTTTTCCTGGTTCTAGTAATTATGACTTTTAAGTTCGATTATATTTTCTTTCCTAGCATTATACTCTTATTTTATTTTATTTCCTATTTCATGGGAATTACTTGGGTAATTAACTGACTAACCCTAACCCTGGTGGTACAGCATTTAAGCACTCGACTGCTCACTGTAAGGCCAGAGGTTCAGACCCACCAGTGTGCTTCATGGGAGAGCAGTGTTTTCATTATTGTGGCTACTGTTTTCAGTAAGGATGTAAGAAATCCTGTGGAACAATTCTGCTCATCCTGTAAGGGGAGTTGGAATTGGTTTGATGGCAACAGAGTTTGGTTTTAAGACCTATTTACATGAGCTTGAACATTTCAGTGTGAAGAATAAGGATCTGTTTTCAGTAGCTATAGACTTCCAGAGAAAATAACTCTTTCCACTTAAAAGTAGACCCATTTGTAGTTCAGTTAAACCAAAAAGTTGAGTTAGCCCTCATCACCAAAAATGGCCTTTAATGTGGCCAATTTTTATTTTTAAAATAATTTAAAAACTTTTATTGTGTTGAAAGTGTCCATAAGGAAACACACCATCTCAACAACATATGCATCCTTTAGTAGCATTGATTATGTTCCTCAGGTTCTACAGTTAGCCTCCCTGTTCTTCCTTAAATCTTTCTACTACCATGGACTCATTGCCTGTTTAGCAGCAACTGACCCTCTCCTCCTCCCTCCCATGCCTAGTAACCGCTAATTGTCTTTGGGGTTTGTATAATTGCTTATTTCATGAAAGTAAGATTGTACATTTGTCTTTTTGCAATTGAATTTTTTTGCACCTTGGATGATGTGATGAATATGGTCTGGTTAAGAAACATGTGTAGAACTTCAGATACATATTTATAAATGACTTGAATTGCAAGTTCGATGATTCAAATTCACCAGCAATTCCTTGGAAACCCTATACAGGGTCATAGTGAGTCGGAACTAACTCCACAGTACTTAATAACAACAACAAGCTATGTCTTTAAATAGGCATCCTATCTCTGAATATGAATCTGTATTACTTCTGTTGTATAATCAATCCTCTTTTATAGTTGGTATTACAATTTTTCTGTAGAAAACAAAATTTTTAATTTTTGTTCTTAATGAATATTTGGTTTTTGCTCTACTGATGTGTTTTCTAATTTTTTAACATAGATCATCAGCAATGTGCCTGCAGACAGCTTGATTCGTACAGAGCGTCCACCAAATAAAGAGATACTTCGATATTTTATACGGCATAATGCATTACGGGCTGGTACTGGTGAAAATGCGCCTTGGGTGGTGGAAGATGAATTGGTGAAAAAATATGCGCTGCCTAGCAAGTTCAGTGACTTTTTACTTGACCCATACAAGGTAAGATCACTGTTCTTGCCTGGCAGGATCATGCTGATAGCAAATTTTGAACTCTTGCATCACATAATGAATGTGAAGTCTTCCAGATCATTCTGTTTATATAGGTTGTGATAGGAGAGGGGTTACATGTATATTTCCCCTAGTTCAATATTTTTTTGCTATATTTACAAAACTTCAAAAAAGATTATGTACATGTGCCTTTCTGCAATATGTCCTATTTGGAATGAGATGTGGTAGAGAAACAAATCGTTTTGTGTAAGTTCCTAAAAATGATAGGTTTTTTTTATATCAGGTGAAATGATGAACTATACTAGCAGCCACAAAACAGTCTGGAATGAATGCTACTGTTAGTCTAATGTTTCCATTTATTCTCTTGAGAATGATGAGGTACCTTTTTTTAAAAAAATTCTCCTTTGATCTTCCAAACATTCTTAAGGAAGCTATGTGGCATATTATTTCTCAGTTGGGGAACATGAGGCCTTGTCTAATGAGAACCCATAGAAAATGAATGACAGAAACCAAAACATTGACCTGTGTAGGGTTTCTGAGGTGGTAAATGTTGATGGGAGCTGAAAGCCTCATCTTTCTCCAGTGCAGTGACTGGTAGATTGGAGCTGCTGACGTGGTTAGCAGCCCAGCTTGTCACCCACTACGCTGCTAGGGCCCCTTCCAAACATTGTGGTGTTTCTGACTCATAGTGATTCTGTCTAGGGTTTCTGATGAGCAACTGGTGGCTTTGAACTGCCAACCTTGCGCTTCAAACTGACCAAGCAGTCCAGTGCGACAGTTGGTAACAACCTCCTATTACAGTTTCTTGGAATTTTCTCAGTTATACATTATTGACATTTTCTATTCTAGACCAGCAAGAGCAAGCATTATTTTCCATTGTCCCCTTTAAATTTTTACTAGTTAGTTTAAAGAAAAAATTTAAGAATTGATTTTTTCTAGACCAGGGCCATGCATTTTTCATGCAACTGCAGTAAACCTAGAATCTTGGTGTGGTGCTGTAGGATAATCACTGGAGTGCAAAGTTCGTTTGAATTGCAAGATTGGTGGTTCAGATTCACTAGCTATTCCTCAGAAGTCCTTTACAGGCTTGCCATGAGTCAGAACTGACTTGATGGCACTTAACAACAATAGCATAGTAAACATAAGTTTTGTCTTATATATTTTTATTGACAAAATTTTAAATTTATTGCCATTTTATGGAATTTTTCATTCAGGGTCGCTATGAGTCAGAATTGACTCGATGGCATTAACAACACCGAGAATGAAATGGCAGTACAGTTTCTTTAACTATATCCGAATCTTGACTATAAAAGCATCTCTGCGTGGATTTTATTCTTTTGGATCACTTGAGTCCTTAAATATTTTCTTGTTAAATTTTTTGTGTATTTTAATTTAATCATATAAGTATTGAATAACATGAAAGACTCTTGTTTATGGGTAGAAAGTCTTAGGAGTTTATTGGAACATAAAAGCTATTCCCCACTTATTGTAAGAACCAGATGTTTTAGACTCCTAGGAGCTTATATCCTGAAAGGCACATTTTGAAGAAATAGGCTAGTCCCCAAATGTCTAACAAGGGCTTGAATATTTACTAAATAAAATGGGAGTATAAGTCAGATTGGGAATAGGAAATGTTGACTTGCTTTTAAACTAATTGCTGTAGATAGGAAGTAATTCTACTAATTGAGAGAAATTGACATTCATATAAAATGTTGTTAAGTACTATCAAAACAAAATGTTTATAAGTACTATTCATATAAAATGTTAAGTTCTGAGTCAGAGCAACCCTGTATAGGGTTTCTGAACCTGTAAATCTGGGAGCAGAAAGCTTCTTTGTTTTCCACAGAGTGACTGGTGGGCTCCAATTGCTGACCTTTTTTGGTTTACAACCCGGTTCCTATCCTATGTGAGAGAGTCACCACGCTCCCTCATGTAAATACCAGTCTACAAAATTAAGGGTACATCCTCATTTTTATCGTTCATTTCCTAACTAATACAGCATTTCCCAATACTATTTGACATAGTGTCTCCTGTGTTTTGCTTGTAAGTTGTTTTTCCTTTTTGAAAACGTAGTTGGCATCTCAGGCAGTATAGATGATAGTAAACACCATAGACAACTAGTCCTCAAAGAGGGCTGTGCCTTCTTTCCTCATCTGACTGAAATTTATATAATGCATTGAGAATTAAAGTTGATTGTTTACGTGTCGGCCTATCGTAAAGGCAATGGCTTTTTAAAATACTTTTTTTGTTTTTGTCTCCTCTTTGGTTTTAGTACAACTTAATGTTCTGTGAACACAAATATATTTCCAATAGAGAGATAGGAGGCTTGGTGGAGGGAAGCAGGGTCTTGAGCAGTCTTTTTATGTGGGAGAGAAAAATTATCTAGGGCCTAAGGTCGGAACTGACTCAACGGCACTTAACAACAACAACAAGGTGACACTGAGAAGCCCTGGTGTGGCATTGTGTGTTAATGCACCAGACTGCAAAGCCGTTTGAGCTGCAAGGTTGGCGGTTCAAGCTCACTAGCTGCTCTTCGGGAACCCTATACAGGGTCGCTATGGGTCGGAATCGACTCGATGGCACTTAACAACAACAACAACAACAACAAAGGTGACACTGAGAAGCCCTGGTGTGGCATTGTGGGTTAATGCGCCAGACTGCAAAGCTGTTTGAACTGCAGGGTAGGTAGGTGGTTCAGCTCCTCCTCGGAAAACCGTATACAGGGTTGCTATAGGTCAGAATAGACTTGACAGCACTTAACAATTAGGTGATATTGAGGGTTTGCGTGTTTCATCTCTTTCTAGAGTATAAGTTATTTAAGAATAAGGACTCTCTTAAAATTGTGATGTTGAGCATAGTACTGTGTGTAATATTGTTAATGTTGTTGAAGTGTCATTGAGTCAGTTCTGACCCGTAGTGCCCCAGTATAGGGTTTCTAAGTAGCAGCTGGTGAGCTTGACCCACTGATTTTGCAGTCCAGAGCATTAACCCATATGTGACTGTTGAGTTAATTTCCTTGAAGAAATTCCAGAATACAATTTGTTGAGGAAAATGTCTCTGGCAGTTGGGTATGTTGTTGCTGTTCAGTGCTTTGAAGTCAGTTCCAGCTGATTGCAACCCTGCCTAGGGTTTTCAAGGATCAGCTTGTGGGTATGACATGCCAGCCTTGTGGTTAGCAGTCCAGTGTTTATCCTACAGTGCCATATCAGGAGTTTGGTTTAGAGGTAGCATAATTTTTTTGTAGGCCTAGACTCCTGATTTGGCTCTTAACAATCAGCACTGAACTGTGAACCACTAGATCAGCAGTTCAAACCCACTAACTGCTCCTTGGAAGCCCTATACTGGTTTGCTGTGAGTTGGAACTCACTGAGCGGCGCTTACAACAGCAGCATCAATGACTTTACAAGGCAGTTGGGGGTTTCACTGTCACATAAGATGCAGTACGCCGTCTGGGTAGTTCATGTTCCTTTTGCCACACTTAGAGCCCTCCTCACTTCTTTGTTAGTCTCTTTGTGGTGTTGACATTGGAGTGTCTTAGGAAAGCCTGTGGACAGAGACAGGAAAATAGTACTTTTAAAAACATTTGGATTAATTTAATATGGTTCTTAATGTACCTTTAATATTATTTTGAAATAATTTCTTGTAGAAAGATTGACAAAATAGTGTAAAGAATTTCTACGTACGCTTTAACTAGATTCTTCAAGTGCTAATATTTTACTACATTTCTTCTATCATTTTCTCTTCACATCCTTGCTATTTTTTATAACCATTTGAGATAGATTGTAAGACAGGATGCCTTTTTGCAAAATACTGTACTTTAATAACTATTTCTGACAAGCAGTGGTATTTTCTAATATTATCAAAGTCAGGAAATTAATATTGAAACAGCCCTTATTCAAACTTTGCCAATTGCCCCAATAATGTCCTTTTAGCAAAACAAAAACTTTCTTGCTTTTCTGGTCCAGGACCCTATGTGGTGTCACGTGTTATGTTTATTTGCCATGTCTCTTTAATCTGGAATAGTTTGTCAGTTTACCTCAACTTTCAGATCACATGCCAATTATATCTTGTAGGATGGATATGCTTCAATTTGAGTTGTTTCTTCACGATTTAGTTCACACTAGGAATTTTTAGTAGACATGCCAGAGTTGATTTATTTTTCTCTCAGTGGATCCTGTCTCGAGGCACATGATATAATTTTTCTGTTTATACTGATATTACACAAATTTTTAAAAGATGTGTCTTACCTATCTTAATTAATATTCTAAAATAAATGCTCATAGACTTAACATTAAGAAAACAAATTTTGTCTCTATAACTAATTTGGTTATGAGTTAGAGGCTACAGCAAATTTTATTTTACAAATAAATTGTTACTTTTCAAAGCACTTGAAAAATAATTTCATAGTAATGCAATTTGTAAAATTTCTGGTAAAACCATGTAGAAATTGAGAGAAGTGCATTATGTGTCATCCTGAAACTCTTACCACACCTGGTGTTTTTTAGGTGAATGGTGGTGGTGGTGGTGTGACATGGAGTTGATTTTGACTCTTAGGGACCCTGTGTAGGGTTTCTGAGGCTGTAAATCTTTACAGGAACAGAACACTCCCCCAGAGTGCCTGGTGGCGGCAAACTGCTGACCTTGCGGTTAGCAGCTCAGCAAGTAGCCCACTCCGCACCCAAACTCCTGGGTGAATGAGCAGAGTGAAATAAGAATCCGAATATAGATGACCAAAGTATTCTGGTTTCAGGGTCTTGCTGCCAGGACCCTCCTTACTCTTCAGTTAAAGTCAGCATCCGAATGAGCTGCTACAAGTAGGAGTTACGGCACGTTTCTTCAAGTAGTGAGAAGCATGGCTTAGGGGCGTGGAGACCGAGACAAATGTAGAATTTTGTGCACTTTCCTCTCCTCTCAGCCTCCCTGGTAGTTGAGACGTTCTGAAATATCTGTCTCGTTTTAGCAGTGAGGAAAGGCATTTGTCCCACACTCACTTTTGCTAATCTAGGTGTCCAGTTTTCTGCACCGATGACTTGTGCTGTGTGGGGGTAGGGACACCTGTAGCACATCTATGGTTTTATACTTTTTCAGATCCCCCTGGGTCCAGCCATGCCGGCTCCCATTTGGCTGTGACTGCCCAGCATGCCCCATGCTGAGACGATCCAGTTACTGACGGACTGCTCACGCGGGGAGCCGGCCGGCCTGTTGGGAGGGGGTTGGGTGAGTTCATTTCTTTCATTTTTAAGGAGAAAAAAAGTTATGATGTGCCTGATGTGGCACTGTAGGATAAGCAGTGGACTGCTAGCCACAAGGTTGGTGGTGGTGGTTCAAACCTACTAGCTCCTTCTTGGAAACCCTATACAGGGTTGCTATGAGACAGAACTGACTGGACGGTACTTAAAACAACAAAATAAATAAAAATAGGGTGCTGGGCACTTCTTAGGGCTAAACCATTCCAGCTCTTCCTTGGAGTATTTCTGCATAATACTATGTTTTTAAGTGGAAGAAATTTAAAGACACAGTAAACTTGAGGAACTTAAAATAGATGGAGATACAATCAGTAAATTAAGAAGTTGTGCAGGTGTGATTGGTACTATTTAAAGGGCTAAAGATGGAAACTTAGTCTCGCAGCTGTCTCCTTTTCTTTTTAGTGATGACTAAATACAACCTGGTTTCCCAAGGCTGTGAAAGAGGATTAACTTTCTAGAGACACATATTCGTTGTTAATTCCCACCAGGGTAGGGATGGCTCTTGCTTTATGATTTGTAGGTTGGTCTCTGAAATGCTGTTCTCTTTGAGTATTAATACTAGTGTTACTGTCCACGAGGAGGATGCAATCTTAAGTTATCTTTGTTTATTCTTTCTAACATTTAGACATTTAGTGCCACTACTTCCAGGAAAAGTATTTCTGAAGAATTTATGTTCTGTAAAGCTATTAAACCTTTTGTCATCCCATCCTGAGGGTGATTATTAGGGAAAGCAAAAGCATACAATTTGAATCAGGCAGGATAAGCAATCATCTAAAGGAACAATAACTTGATATTGCCTGTAATGTTTAAAAGCAAGGTTAGCCTTGAAAGTTAACAGAACTTGGTCAGAATCGGATTTGCTAAGTGTAGCATGCTTTTGCAGACTGTATTTCCATCTCTTGTGCTGTCTTGGTTCTGTTAGTTTCTATGATGATTTTATCTTTAATGTTCAGATCTTGTTTGTCATTCATTGTCTTACTCATTTTATAGCTTGTTGTTTGGTGCCATTGAGTCACTTTTGACTCTTAGTGATCCTTATACCCAACATAAGGAAACCCTGCCCAGTCCTGCCCATCTTCACAGTTGTTAGTGTGAGACCATTGTTGCAGCCACTGTGTTAATCCATCTTGTTATGAAGCCTTAGAGGAGATTCTTTTATCTGTCTGTGCAAGAGCACGGGTGTTCTTCTAGGTTAGCTCTGGGGTTGAATTCACTCTAGCAACTTTCCTGTTGCCTTTCTTAAGGGATTCCTTATTTCCTGCACGCTAGCCTGTCCAGACTGCTGCTGTATGTGTTGGTTGAACAAAGTCCCTTCCACTGCAAAACTGAAGTGAAGGCCAGTGAGTCCCTGAGTGCCATCTCGGTGTTTAGCTGCTCTTGATAGTAGAAATTAAGTATTTTAGAGATGATTTAGTCTTTATTCTAGTTACCTGAAACAAAATGTCCATTGCTTGGATATTTAACCTAGGGTATCAAGAATGGACTATAAAATTGTATGAATGACTTTGTGTGTTGTTTTTGCCAGGACATTTCTTCATAATTGTGTTTTTTGAGCATCGGAATCACAGCTTTTTTTTGGGGGGGAGGTGGTTAGGCATTTAAGTGGGCAACCAGGTCTTATGACAAATGGACATGGTTGTAACCTATTAATGAATTCTGCCTGATGGGCAGTAGTAGTTAGTAGGAAGTTTGAGGAAACAAGGTGTGAAAAACCCTTTCTGCAAGAGTGGAAAGGTGAATGAATGGATTAAGGGAATACACTGTGATTATTGAGTAGCTTTTAGGATCCACTTGATGTGCCTATTCATGAATTTAAAGTAAGACTACTCACTGTCTTTAGATACTTCAGTCTAGCCATGTTTAAGTTGAACGTGTATAGACCAGGAGTAAGTTGACTTGGAGGTAATTAGGGTTATGGTTTTGCCAAAAACAGATAGAAAGCAAGAGAGACCAGGGAACTGTAAGGCTGATGCAGATTGAGGATAATGATTGGCATCAAAATTTAATATGGATAAAGAAGGACAAGGAGGGTGGGGTTGGTGAAAGTATGCTAGAATTAATGAATTTTAGCTCCTGGTAAGAGTGAAAGATTGTCAGGTTTTGTGGTATTTGTTGTGTGCCGTTGAGTCACTCTCGACTCATTACAGGCTGGTATAGGGTTTCTAGTAGTGGCTGGTGGGTTTGAATTGGTGAACTTGTGATAAGCAGTCCGGTGCTTGTCCTATACACCAGGCTCTTCGTGGTACTGAAGGGAGTAAATTTGAAAGATACGCTGTCAAAGAGAGGTTTTAGGGGGCTTACAGTGATTCATATTTTGATGAAAATGAGTTTCTTAGGTGTGGGAGGAATGAAGCGGGTTTTCAGGAACCCAGAGGCTAGGGCCTGGGAGTGTCCTGATCTGTGAGCAGTGCTTTGGTGTTGGTACACAGCCACTGTCTAGATCAGGTTTCTTCATCTGGACTTCATGTGTGGATTCTAGAATCGCATGCATGATTTTGTATGTTGTTTATGATGGATTTCATCAAAATATTTAAGAGCAGCACTGTAGGATAAGCTTCTGACTGCTAACTGCAAAGTGAGTGGTTCAAATCCACCAGCCACTTGGAAACCGTCTATAGGGTTGCTATGAGTCAGAATCGACTCGATGGTACACGACAACAATAATAATCAGTATATAAACAGGAAATTAGTTGTATAGCAAAAATGCATAGTATCAGATTGTAGATTTTATCAACAGAATTTTGTATTGATGCAACAAAAACATTTGTTAATGTTCTTTTTGTTCGTCTTTGAAGAGAAATGAATGGTTAACTTCACCTTAGTAGCTGAGGAAAAGAGGGCCTTTAGGATACTTAAATATTGCTTCTTAAATGTCTATGTAAATTAATTTTGCTCCTGTTCTTACATTGTAGTACATGACTCTCAACCCTTCTGCAAAGAGAAAGAATACGGGGTCCCCAGACAGGAAGCCCTCGAAGAAAACCAAGATTGATAGCTCTTCTCTCAGCTCACCACTAAATCCCAAGTTATGGTGCCATGTGCACCTGAAGAAGTCCTTGAATGGATCCCCACTGAAAGTGAAGAACTCAAAGAATTCCAAATCTCCAGAAGAGCAGCTGGAGGAAGTGATGAAGATGATGTCACCCAACAAGCTGCACACTAACTTTCACATTCCTAAGAAAGGCCCGGCTGCCAAGAAGCCAGGGAAGCACAGTGACAAACCTCTGAAGGCAAAGGGCAGAAATAAAGGTATTCTCAATGGACAGAAGTCCACAGGAAATTCAAAGTCTCCCAAAAAGGGGTTGAAGACACCTAAAACCAAAATGAAGCAAATGACTTTATTGGATATGGCCAAAGGTACTCAGAAGATGACACGAGCTCCCCGGAATTCTGGGGGTACACCTAGATCTTCTAGTAAGCCTCATAAGCATCTGCCTCCTGCTGCCCTACACCTCATTGCCTACTACAAAGAGAACAAAGACAGGGAGGACAAGAAGAGTGCCCTCTCTTGTGTTATCTCCAAAACTGCTCGTCTTCTCTCCAGTGAAGATAGAGCTCGTCTCCCAGAAGAATTAAGAAGTCTTGTTCAAAAACGCTACGAGCTTCTAGAGCACAAAAAGAGGTGGGCCTCTATGTCAGAAGAGCAACGCAAAGAATATTTGAAAAAGAAACGAGAGGAGCTGAAAGAAAGATTGAAGGAGAAAGCCAAGGAGCGGAGAGAGAGAGAAATGCTTGAGAGACTGGAAAAACAGAAACGGTTTGAGGACCAAGAGTTGGCTGGCAAAACGCTCCCGGCGTTCAGACTGGTGGATACTCCCGAAGGGCTGCCCAACACGCTCTTCGGCGATGTGGCTTTGGTGGTGGAGTTCTTGAGCTGTTATTCTGGGCTGCTCCTACCAGATGCCCAGTATCCTATTACTGCTGTGTCCCTCATGGAAGCCTTGAGTACAGATAAAGGTGGCTTTTTATATTTGAATAGAGTATTGGTCATCCTCTTACAGACTTTACTACAAGACGAAATAGCTGAAGACTATGGTGAATTGGGAATGAAGCTGTCAGAAATCCCTCTGACTCTGCATTCCGTTTCAGAACTGGTGCGCCTCTGTTTGCGCAGATCTGATGTTCAGGAGGAGAGTGAGGGCTCGGAAACAGATGACAATAAAGATTCAGCACCGTTCGAGGACAATGAAGTACAAGATGAATTCCTCGAGAAACTGGAAACATCTGAATTTTTCGAGCTAACATCAGAGGAGAAGCTGCAGATCTTGACAGCACTCTGTCACCGGATTCTTATGACATACTCAGTGCAAGACCACATGGAAACCAGACAGCAGATGTCTGCAGAGTTGTGGAAGGAACGACTTGCTGTGTTGAAGGAAGAAAATGATAAGAAGAGAGCAGAGAAACAGAAACGGAAAGAATTGGAAGCCAGAAATAAAGAAAATGGAAAAGAGGAGAATGGGTTAGGTGGTAAAAGTGATAGGAAAAAGGAAGTTGTAAAGTTTGAGCCTCAAGTAGATACAGAAGCGGAGGACATGGTTAGTGCTGTGAAGAGCAGGAGGCTGCTTGCCATTCAGGCTAAGAAGGAGCGGGAAATTCAGGAGAGAGAAATGAAAGGTAAGTTCTTATGTGGAGAGAAAAGGGGGGGAAAGATAAAAGATAGTTAAAGGAAGGGAATTCCTGAAGTCTAGTTTTATCATAGCTCTTTAGTTACTTCTGTATGTGATACCCAGCACACATACGAGGTATAGAATATTCTAACAGGAATGTCAGCATTCTTTAGTTAATGATAGTTTGAATTAGACATACATGTTGGGTTTGTAAAGAACCAGATCCACAAATAGGTGTAGCAGAAACAATACCTAAGTTGGGAATTGCTGACCTGGGTTTAAATTCTAGCTCTGATACTTTTGAACAAGTTATTTGTCCATACCTCAGTATCTTCGTATGCGTGATAAGATTGTTGTAACAAATGACAGGGTATTTGAAGCCATTAGCACAATCAATAAGACTTGAATCTTTCTTGTACTAAAATGTAAACATTTATAAGTGGGCTATGACACCATCAATTTGAATTTTTTCTTAAAAACCTTTATTGGGCTCTAATTCACATACCATACGGTGAGTGCCTAGAGAAGCTGGGACTAGTTCAGTCCATTACAGTGGTTTTTAGAATACTTGCCTCTATATACAGCCATCACCACAGTTAACTTTAGAACATCTTCTGTTCTCAGAAATAATTCCCCCATCCTCTCCAGCCCTGAACAGTCACTAATTTTCTTCTGTTTCTGTAGATGTACCTATTCTGGATATATCACATATGAGGGGCCTCAAAACATGGAAAAATGAAATTAAAAGATAATGGAACTTTTCTACAAACTTTTGGAAAACCCCCTTGTACATGGAATCATATGTCATGGTCTTTTGTGGCTTACTTCTCTCTAAATAATCTTCCATTAATATTTTCAAGGTTCATTCATGGTTGAGTGTGTATTGGTGTTTCATTCTTTTTATGGCTTAATTGAGTATATGGGTAATCCCACTTTTTAGAATCCATGATCACTTGATGAGCATTTGGGTGGTTTCCACTTTCAAAATGTTTTGCTGCTGGGAACACTGGTGCAGACACTTTTGTATGTGCCGGTTTTCGGTTCTCTTGGGTGTATATAGGAGTGGAATGGCTGTGTTGTGTGGTAACTATTTAACCTATGAAGAGTTGCTGGCTTTTTCAAAGTGGCTTCACATTTTGCATTCCTATCAGTAGTGTAATACCTGACTTTTGAATTACTGTTGTTCTATTGTTGTTGTTGTAAGTACCGTCAAGTCAGGTCTGATTCATAATGACACTGTATAGGGTTTCCGAGGAGTGGCTGGTGGGTTTGAACTGCCAACCTTATTATGGTTAGCAAGCCAGTGCTCATCCTGCAGTGCCACACAAGGACCCATGTCTCATCCAGTGACATTAATGATGTTCTTCATGTTGTTCATCTCTTTAAGGCCAAGTATGGTCCAGTGGATGGAGGAAGGTGCTGCATTTTGCTTACCTATCATCTGTTGATGAATGCAGGCTGTTTTCTACCTTTGACTGTTGTAAACAGTGCTGCATTGAACTCCTGCCTCAGTTTTATGGATGCATACTCAGGAGTGGAGCTGTTGGATTGTGTGATTAACTCTTAAAGGGTGCTTCAAAAGTTTGTGGGAAAATGCCAGTTACTTTTCATTCCATTTTTCTACGATGTTTTTGAGGTCCCTGCTCCCTTGTTTTGTTGAACATGGTTGAGAATATACCATAACTTTATTTTCTGTTTTTTAATTATTAGTATTGAAATAGTACTGTTTTCTTTTTTCTAAATTTCATTTTGTTGAGACTATACCCAGGAAAACGTGCACCAATTTCACAGTTTCTGCCTGGACAGTTCAGTGCCCTGGATGACATTCTTTGAGTTGTGTAGTCATTCTCACCCTCCTCATTCGTGTACGTACACTCGGTTCTCTGGTCTTCTAGCTGCTCTGGTCAGTTTGATCCCTTACAGGATAGGCCTCAAGGCAGACCTTTCTTTCCTAATAAAGTACTACTGTTACTGAGTTTTGAGATGACATCAAAGGATATTTTTAGTTGAAGGTTTAAAAATTATCTCAGGACAGTAGCTTCGGGGGTAACCCACCCTGTATGGTTCCAGAAATTCTAGAATCCATGAGAATTTGAATTTCTGTCCTACATTTCCCCCCTTTTGTTTGCAATTCTTCTGTGGAATCTTTTATTCAGATATTCAGTAATAGTAGTTAGACACCAGCCAGTTCTGGTCTCTTGGCAAAGGAGTTAGTTATTCCTGGAATCAGTTAGCCAGACATTCCTTATTTTTCTCTTCCTGATTATATCCTCCTTTCTTTGTTACTTTAGGCATATAGAGATCAGTTGTGCCTGGATGGCAGCTTGCAAGCTTTCAAGACCATTGTCTCTCTGCAGTGAACTAGGAGGTAGATCAGAAGCACTAAATGCATCATCAGACCACTCAACTGAAATGTCCCATGGAACCATGACTCTAAACCTCCAAACTGGGGAACCAAATCCCATGAGGTGTTTTGTTGTATATAAGCTTCGCAGCTCCTTTATTTTTTTTGTCATTGTAAGTTTATGGCACAATGTCTCACCTTTTTCAGGTGTACAACTTATTGACAGTGCACCCATGTGCAACCTGACTTTAATCAAAGTGATTTCCCTCTCTTTCCCTCCCTCCTGTTCTAATAAACTTTTCTGTACATTTGCCTTGCCTTTTTATATATTTTTTAGATTATATATACATATTTTATATATTTAGATTATGTAGTATTTGTCCTTTTGTTATTGACTTAAAAATCATTCACTTAGCATAGTGTCTTCCAGTTTCATCAATACTGTATCAACACTTCATCTCGCCTACTGCTGAGTAGTATTCCATTGTATGTAGGTAGCACATTTTGGTTTTTTCTTTCTTCTGTTGGTGGGCATTTAGCAGGTGGGCCCTGTGCTAAATGCCCACGTTTTGGATATTGTTGTACAAGTTGCTTTTTGAGTCCCTGCTTTCAGGTTTTTGGGGGTGAATTGCCTAGGAGTGAATTGCCAGATGTTGTGTAAGTTACATTTTGAAATCAAAAACTGTTAAGTCATCTAGTTTGTTCTTCTTTTGGAGGATTGTTTTGGCTATTCTGAGCCCTGACAAATTCCATATGAATTTTACAACAGTTTGTTAATTTCAACAAATAAGCCAGCTAACATTTTGATAGGGATTGCATTGAATCTTTACATCCAATTTTGGAAGATAGGTAATCCCCAGAGTATGATGGGGTTCCATTCCAATGACTCCATCGTAATTCAGTTCTGACATAGGTTGAATACCTCATTTTGTTGTAGTTTTCATTATATTTGCCTTCTATTATCACGGCCTTTATAAATCCTAGCAGTGAACCAATGTTGGATTACTGAAAAGCAAAGTAAGCACAGACTTACGTGTGCCTACCTACTATTCTGTAGTGAATAGTTTTATCCCATGATATGATTGTAAACATGTTTTTCTATTTATTATTGTGTGTAAGTGCTATCAAGTCAGTTCTGACTCATAATGACCCCGTTTCGGGTTCCCAGGTAGCGGCTGGTGGGTTTCAACTGCTGACCTTGTGGTTAACAATCCAGTGCTTATCCTACAGAGCAACAGGTCTCTAGAATTGTTTTCGTGTCTTTCAACAATGTTTTGTAGGTCTCAGAGTTATGAGTTGCATACTTCTAGTTCAGTTTATTCCTAAATAAATCTTGAACACCTCAGGGTCCTTCTCTGCCTTCCCTCCGTTGCAAAGTCGTTATCCTTAATCCTTGCTTCACGAGAACCATGACACCTTTAAGCCTGACCTGTTTTTAACCTTATAAAGTTATCTCTAAGCATTGTGGAGGGCCGATAACTTTTTTTGGGGAGTCAAAGTTAGATGTTAAGGATTTGAGCAAAATCAAAAAACCTGTTGTTGCCATGGAGAAGATTATGACTTACAGCATCTCTGGAGGACAGGGGAGAACTGCCTCATAGGGTTTCTAAAGCTGTAATCTGTTCTAAAGCATTCGGCCATAGCTTTCTCCCAGGGAGTGGATGTTGGGTTCAAACCAAGCTCTTAAATGCTGTGCTAACAGCGTTCTTTAAGAATTATATGGAAGATTTCAGGTTTAGTCCAACAAATTTATTGAGTAGGAAATAATGTAATTAATATAATTCTCCTTTTAGACTCCTGGTATGGTGCTGTGGATCAGCATTTGGCTGTGAACCACAAGGTCGGCATTTCAAACCCACCAGTGGCTCCTCGGAAACTATGTTGTTGTTGTTGTTGTTGTTAAGTGCCATTCAGCCAGTTCCAACCCATAAGGACCCGGTATAGGGTTTCCGAGGAGCGACTGGTGAGTTTGAACCACCGACCTTGCTGTTCAAACAGCTTAGCAGACTGGTGCATTAAACCACAGCAGAAACGGAAACTACACAGGGTCAGTCACTATGAGTCAAACACCAGTGACAGTTCTTTTCATCCATTTTATTTAGCACACTTAAGGCTACTGAGATGTCTTTACATATGCAAATATGCACGAATACAGTGACAGATTACCCAATAAGCAAGGTAAGCACAGGCTTATTTACTACTATGTTTTTCACCATGTGATATGTGACTGGAAACTTTTCAGTTTAAAAATCCTATAAGGAAAGGTATGGAGTCTTGGTGTGGTAGGATAAGCACTAGACGGCTAACCACAGGTTGGTGATTCCAACCCCCAAGTCGCTCCTCTGAAACCCTATATAGGGTCACTATGAGTTGGAACTGGCTCTAAGAAGGAAAGGTCTAACTGCATTCTGCCTTAGAGCATGCAAGTTAACTTTATGGCATCCTTGTTTGTTTTGCCCTTTAAGTGTAATAATTTCTTGAATTGTTTAAGCATTCCTCTGTGGGTTATATTTATCATTACATAGGCGGAAGGTGATAATGTTCCATTTCTTATATAGAAACAAGGAACAAGAAAACATTAATGCCTCACCGAAGTCCATGTTTACATTAGAGTTCAGTGTTAGAATCTCTGGAAAGAAATTTGCTCTTCTCTTGTTGACTTGCCCTTAGTTGTTAATTCTTTGTAATCTTCGAAGGAGGTTTTTGGTTGTGATTGGACCATTATGTAATTGTGTTTCTCCTTAATCATTGTTACAGACATGTAGTTCTCCAGTCCACAAGACTCCTTATTAAAGGAAACACATTTCCATTCTAGTTTTAAAATAAGTGAGACTTGTAGAAATCAACATAACTAGATAGCTCCATGTCCAACTAGTCCCCATATGGCAGCCTTTCCCTTTAGTAGAGGATCAGGGTTAAGAGTTCTAGTCTTGGAAATACTGTGCGCTGAATCCTACAGGGTCAGCTTGTGACAAAATCAAAAGGCAAGATTGTGGACTTTGGTAATAAGAGACATGTTTGCTGGATAGAATGATCTCATAACAAAGAGTCGAAGTAAAACTTTTTCTCTCATTAGAAATTAGAATCATGTTTTAATATGCAAGTGTTGCTATTGTTCACAAGTACTTTTCCTGCCCCTATATTCACAATTCTAACAAGGCTATTATGAAGACTTACTGACAGATTTCCTTAGTACTGAAATCACTTTGATTTGGAATAGAGTCAGTACTGACTCATAACGGTCCTGTGCACAACAGAACGAAACACTGCCAGATCCTGGGCCAACCTCACTATTGTCGCCATGCTTGAGTCCATCGATGCTGCCACCTGGCCAGTCCATCTTGTTGGAAGTCTTCCTCTTTTTCTCTGACCCTCCACCCTGCCAAACAGCTGAATCAACTCAACATCAATAGGTTTTGTTACATTTTGGTTTATTAGTTTCATTCATCCTGATCTCTTTTAGGATCCTTGTGACTGGCACTTCTATAAAAAAAAAATTGATGAATTTGTTATCTTTTGAGGACTGGTGTGGCACTGTAGGATAATCATTGGAGACTGTTCACTGCATAGTCAGCTGTTCAAATCCATCAGCTGCTACTTGGAAACCCTATACAGGGTTGCTAGGAGTCAGAACTGACTCAACAGCACTGAACAGCAACAACAACATACATGTTCTTGTCAGGTGCCATCGAATCGGAACCGACTCATAGCGACCCCATGCACAGCAGAATGAAACAATGTCCGATCCTGGGCCAACCTCACTACTGCCGCCACACTCGATGCCATCAATGATGCCACCTGGCTGATCCATCTCGTTGGGGGTCTTCCTCTTTTTTCTGACCTTCCATCTTAACCCAGCATGATATCCTTCTCCAGCAACTGTCTCCCCCTTACAATATGTCCAAAGTATGAGAGACGAAGTTTATCCATCCTGGTCTCCAAGGAGCACTCTGGCTATACTTCTTCCAAAACAGACATATTGGTTCTTTTGGCAGTCCGTGGCACTTTCAGTATTCTCCTCCAACACCACAATTCAAAGGCATCCATTCTTCTACGATCTTCCTTATTCACCGTCCAGCTTTTGCAGCCATAGGAGGTTATTGAAAATACCATGGCTTGGGTCAGGCGCACCTTAGTCCTCAAGGTGACATCTTTGCTCTTCAACACTTTAAAAAGTTCCTGTGAGGCAGATTTGCCTAATGCAGTACGTCGTGTGAGCTCTTGACTGCTGCTTCCGCGAATGTTGATAGTTGATCCAAGAAGAATGAAGTCCTTGACAACTTCAGTCTTTTCTCCATTGATAAGAATGTTGTTTATTGGTCTAGTGGTGAGGATTTTTGTTTTCTTTACATTGAGATGCAATCCGTACCGAAGGCTGTGTTCCTTGGTCTTCATCAGTAAATGTTTCAAGTCCTCTTCACTTTCAGCAAGCAAGGTTGTATCATCTGCATATTGCAGGTTGTTAATGAGTCTTTCTCCAATCCTGACGCCACGCTTTTCTTCATAGAACCCAGCTTCTCGTATTATTTGCTCAGCATACAGGTTGAATAAGTATGGTGAAAGAATACAACCTTGTCGCACACCTTTCCCAATTTTAAAACATTCATTGTTCCCATGTTCTGTTCGAACAACTGCTTCTTGGTCCAGGTACAGATTTCAATTAGAATTAGGAGAAGGAAACGAAAGTTTGGTAAACTTCTACTTTATATCAGGTACTTTCATTCAAGAACTCATTTAATTTGTACATGTAGAATATAGCAGAGAAAAACTAGTTTGCTCTTTTTATTATTAACAGTGAAATTAGAACGTGAAGCTGAAGAAGAAAGAATACGGAAGCACAAAGCCGCTGCTGAGAAAGCTTTCCAGGAAGGAATTGCCAAAGCAAAACTAGTCATGCGTCGGACCCCTATTGGGACAGATCGAAACCATAATAGGTGAGTTTCTAGTCTGAATTTTTGTCATCTCGTAGGGCCATTAGGTTGCTATTAGCTGAGGAGCTGGTAAAAGAACCAAGAAGAGACAAGTTTCTTTGTTAATGGAGTTTGAAAACAGAATTGCTTATCATACATCTGTTGAACATTTATTATACCAGATGCTCGGATTATAATGTTGAGTGGATATACCCTTCCCCCTGGAAGAGCTCACACATATGAAACAAATTAGTTTATAGGTGCAATGCAATCCAAGTAGAGATTTTTTTTTTAAATGATAATAGAGTACACCCATGTTTTGGGAACTAGAGATGGGAGCATGCGATCAACACTGAACTGCGAACCACATGATCAGCAGTTTGAGCCCACCAGCGGCTCCATGGGAGAAAGATCAGGCTTTCTGCTCCGGCCAAGATGTAGTCTCAGAAACCCTATACAAGGTCGCTGTGAGTCAGAACCAACTCATCGGCACTTAACAGCAACAGTGAGATAGGGCAATAATATTGTTGATAATACTAAAAGTTAAAAAAATTAGGAATGTTAAATGAGTCTCAGACTACATGTTTTGATGTCCATTGCTGTATGTTATGGTGTAATTTGTATCAATCTGAAGTTTTGAGCCAAGAAGGAGTTCTGTCCACTGTGGTTATGAATGCCCAGTGATACTTTGTAATCGTCCTCCCCAACAATAAAAGCATCCTGCACTGCTGATGGCTGATCCCTTGGTTCTTATTTATTTGTAGATACTGGCTCTTCTCAGATGAAGTTCCAGGATTGTTCATTGAAAAAGGCTGGGTACATGACAGTATTGACTATCGATTCAACCATCACCGCAGAGACCGTGCAGGTCCTCCTGATGAGGACTACTACCCCCGCAGTGAGTATACTTAGTAATCACGCCACCGCTCATGGAGGGTCAGTGCTAAGGAGTGCCTTTTGCTCTGTCACTTTTTGACATTTGCAACATTTTCTTAATTCAACTTCCCTGGGAGGAATTGAGAAAAGGAAGAAAACAAACATTTGATTACTGACTGAGAGTGTACAGGAACTTGACTGTTAGGGTATTTAGAACTTATAGGAGTCATTTTGCAACTTGGTCCCTTGAAAACTCTTGTAGGTGCCTTAAGGTCTGGATTGAGGTCATCGGACCAAGAAGGCAGAGTTTCCTCCTCTGTTTTTGTAATTCACTGACTCAGAATTTATGGGCCATGGTCTCATGTACCAGGCATTTTTCATATGCTGGGTATGTAGCAGCAAAGAAGATATACATGTAACTAAAATTTTAGCGAGAGGAACACAGCAAATCTCAAGCTCAATAAATAAATAAATAAGTGACTGAGAAGGTGTCCTGAACGGCCTCTGAGAATGTGCTTTTTCTTGATGTGAGTACTAGTTACATGAGTGTGTTTAATTTGCAAAATAACCACACAATTTGTTTTGCTGACTATACATCTATATATTTTAAGAAAAAAAAAATTTTTAATGAAAAAAAAAAAAAAATATGGTCAAGCTGTCAGGGTTTCTTATCCTTGGTGTTTTTGACATTTTGGGCCAACTCAGTTTTTATAGTGGGAGCGCTCTCCTGTGCATTTAGGATGCTGAGCACCATCCCTGGCCTCTGCCAGCTAGAGGATAGTTGTTACTGTGAAGTGCCATCAAGTGGGTTCCAACCCAGTCTCAGAGGAGTGACTGGTGAGTTTGAACCGCTGGCCTTCTGGTTCAAATGACTTTGCAGTCTGGCACATTGACCCACAGCGCCACACCAGGACTCTGGTAGTGGCAACCAAAGCCATTTCTGCACATTGGGATGCCCCCTGGGAGGCAAAGCCACTCTCTGTAGAGAAGCTCTAGGTTTGCTGATCTACAAGCCTCCTTATTTCTTTCTATAAGCTGATCAAAATTGCTTCTCAAATATTTAGATTTTTCTTTGAGACATTTTAATTTTTAAAGTAGTTCTGTCTCATTTTAGAGAAACTCATAAACCAAACTTCAGACTCATAACACTAGTATGTAAGGAAACTGCTAAATTTTTTATATACTTAAAAATTTCAAATTTAAACTCTGTTCGTGATGAATTATATTAAGTGTTAGATTACGGTTCTTGGAAAACTCTACTTTTGGTAGACTTAAATAAAGCGGTGTGTGTGAGAGCAGTCCCTGCGAGCTCATGCTCCTTAGGCTTGGGAGAGATTCTGAGGAGATGGAAGGCTGTGACCTTGCATTCACAAGTTCCCTGGCTGCCCTTTGAAATCAAGCTGATAGCATTAGAACCACCTGAGAGAAAACTGAGCATTCACATCTCATCACCATTCTCTAGAATTTAAACCATTCTAGTGGACTCGACAGCATCTAACAACCTTTCTAGTCCTGTTAAAAGACTCCACAGGTTGCATGATAGTATTGCAGGGAAGATGTTGCATGTTAAGGGGAGAGAATGGGGCAGACGAGAATACCAGGGTTGTATTAGGTGAGGCCTCAAATACTGTGATGCCCTTAAATGACCTTTGATAAATTAACTGAAATATATATTAAAATCATGTATTAGCTGGACTGCAAAGTCGGTTTGAACTGCAAGGTTGGCAGTTCAAGCACACCAGCAGCTTCATGGAGACCCTATACAGGGTCACTCATGGGTCAGAATTGACTCAATGGCACTGAACAACATTAGAATATATATGGTAGCCTAATGGGTGACTTGTTGGGCTGCTAACCTCAAAGTCTGCAGTTTGAATACACCTACTGCTCTGAGGAAGAAAGATGAGACTTTCTGCACCCATAAAGAATGGAAAACCCCATTAGGGTCATTATGAGTCAGAACTTATTCCACAGCGCATAGCAGCAGGATCATTAGCATATTTGTTGTTGTTCTGAGGAGCGGCTAATGAGCTTGAGCCACTGACTGTGTGGTTCAAACCAACCTTGCAGTTTAGCCAGCGCATTAACACCAGTATATAGAAACTGATGCACAAAATATTCATTGTGTTTGACGTTTGAAGCCTCCAAGGCTTTGCCATAGGCAGTCTTGGTATGATGCTGTAGGATAAGCACCAGGAAACCCTATAAGAGTTCCCTGTGTGTGAACCAACTTGACAGCACTTGATAACAACAAAGAGTAACATTTAATCATCCCTCTTCATTCTATGTTGTAATACTCCTGAACTCTGAACGACTCAACTCTCTAGGTGACATGCTATAAGATGTTTAAGAGAAATTAGCTTCTATTGTACATGTGGATATATTTAAGCAGCATCTTTGGTATTGTTAGTTTTGCCACTGTGCACTGCTTAGATTTGAAACTAGGAAGTGGATATTTACTCTTTTCAGTTTAATAATAATGTATTAATCTTTCTTAGGTAAGAAAGCAAACATAGGCAAAAACGCAAGCCTGAATGCACAGCATGGACCTGCAGCAGAAATTGCTGTGGAGACCACTACACCCAAACAAGGGCAGAACCTATGGTAATGTGCACGCTCATCTGGTTGCTCTTTCTTTTTCCTTTCTTAAATGTTACAAGAATGTGTAATATAGTGAGTTCAGTATGTATTAAGGGCGTTTTGTAGGACTTTGATTATCATCTCAGATGTCTGAACTCACTGCTTTAAAAAAACAGAAATGGGTTTTTGATAAAAGATTTGCTTTTCCTCAAATTTAGAATTTAATGTTTTTTTATTTGTTTATTTTTAAATCTCTGTCTTATATATAGATCTTATTACTTAACATTGGGAATGTTTTTTGATCTGCTTGGGAATAGAAGTATTTAGGATTTTCCTTTTTATTAATTAAACATAAAAACTGCTTATATATAGAGGTCCACTTGGTGACTGTGTGAACTGCTATAACTGTGATTACTTTTGGTTGAATGACCTTTTTCCCTTTGGGAAACAGATTTATTTTTTGAAAGCTTATGGACAATGTGTCTATTAATGTAAAGTTGCCACATTTGCCTCATTTTATATTTTAATGGAGAAAATTGGCTCCAATGTTTCCGGATTAATGTAAGCTTCATAGAACACTGAATTCTCTCTTCAACCTTCTGGATACGATATTGTGGACAGTGTTGGGGTTCTGTTCTCCCAATGCCTCCCATTACCCTTAGAGTGCCTTGAGTTCTTGGAGTTACCAGGTCTCACCTGCTTTTACAGGTTTCTGTGTGATAGTCAGAAGGAGCTGGACGAGTTGCTCACCTGCCTCCACCCTCAGGGAATAAGAGAGAGTCAGCTTAAGGAGCGATTGGAGAAGAGGTGAGAGCTTCCATCTTGCTTCTCATAGCTTCTTACTCGTTTTCAACTTAATAAATAACCATTTCTGAACCATAGCAACCTATTGTTGTTATGTGCCATCGAGTTGGTTTGGACTCATAGCGACCCTGTATAGGGTATTTGAGGCTTTTTAAATCTTCATAGGAGCAGAAAGTCTCATCTTTCTCTCTATAGCAACCTATGTATTCTATATATGTTAGATTTTCTTGCATGCCCATAAAGGCTTCTATAGTTTTTAAAAATGATAACTTGTATATATTGTTTGGAATCTTTTTTTTTTTTTGTGTGTGTGTGTGTGTGTGTGTGGCATATCAAGCTTATTTTGGAAAAAAAACCCATAGTTGTTAAACAAGATCATAGCAAGCTGTAAACATTATTGTAATTATTTAGGCAACCTTACAAATGCAGTCCCGGAGCAGCTGGTTTTTAAAACTGTTTGTCAGTATTCATAGTAGCCAGAAGTGAATGCAGAGAAACAAAATGTGATCTGTCTGTTATTAATTGCTGTTGAGTTGGTTCTGATTCACAGAAACCCTGTATAGTTTTCCGAGGAGTGGCAGGTGGGTTTGAATTTCTGACCATTGCTTATCCTGTAGCGCCACACCAGGCAATGGACTATTATCCAGCCACAGAAGGGAACGAATTGTACTGATAATGCCACAGCATAGACGAGCCTAGAAAACATTATGCTAAGTGAAAGAAGCCAGTCACAAAGGTCATGATTCCTGGTGTGTAAAACATTTGGAATAGTCAGATCCATAGAAGCAGAAAGTAGCTTAGAGTTACCAGAGAGTTAAGGAGGGAGAAAGTTGGAGTGACTGCTAGTAAGTGTGGCATTTCATGCTTAGAATGGTGGGCATGTGATGGTATGTCGTGGAGTGTGTTCCAACTTGTAGCGACCCTGTGTAGGGTTTCCAAGGCTTCAGAAAACTTCGTATTTCTCCTGCGGAACTGCTGGTAGTTTTGAACTGATGTGAGCAACCCAATTTGTCACCATCACCCTAGGTAGTAGTTATTCCATAAAGTAAAAACCGTTTACCTGAGCACTCTAAGATGATTAATTATATCTTAAAAGCAAACAAACCCGTGCTGTTAAATCTACAAAATTAACCTCAACTCCATCTAGACTTGCTAGTGTTACTCGTGTAGTACCCTTGTGCCTTTACCCTTACTACATCTTAGGCTTAGCAGAACCATTCCATCTAGTACATTCCAAGGTTCCTATCAAAGCCAAAACAAAGTCACCTGTAATTTCTGACCATATGCTGATTTCTATGGTTGAATTAAGGTTTGGTTGTAGAGAGAAGGAAAAAAACTATTCAGCAACATTGTCTGACTTTTGTGATTGGTAATATACCTCATTATTTTTATCCCACTGGTGAATGCATAAGTTTATTCTGACTGTGCCATGCTGTCTTGACACAGATGTATCTAGACAATTTAAGAAAGAGGAGGGAAAATATCATGTTTCTTCTCTTTGGGTTGGATTAAAAGGATTTTTAGAAGAAATAAAATTAAGCATATAAACAGATTGAATCTTTCCATTAAGAAATTAGATTGTCAAGATTGAAAGCAAAACTTAACCTTTTTTACTTTGGTTTTTGTTGAACATTAAAAAATTGCCTTTAAAAGCTTGGTTTTAAACTTTATAAAGAATATCAAACAGTACGTAGTCTTTTGGAACTTGTTTTTCTTTACTCAAAATTGTAATACTAAACAGTCAACCATGTTTTGTATAACATAACTCTCTTCATTTTCTTTATTTCCAATATATTATGAAAAAAGACTTAAACAGACAGGACAGTAGTAGACCATTTGGAAACATAAAGCAGGAGTGGTCACATCTTGGTGTTATACCAGGATGGACATTATGTAATGTCCCTCTTTGTTTACCATTACAAAGTGACCCTTTATAGAGTTTCTGAGGAGTGACTGGTAAGTTTTGAACCACCAACTTTGTGATTCACACTGATCTTGCAGTCTAGTATTTACTCTGTAGTGCCACATCTGGACTTCATGTAATAATAGAAGTCATAATTATGTATGGAATGTTATGCCCAATAACATTGTTAAATAGAGAAAACCAAAGCTACTCAAGGTCCTTATGGGTCAGAACTGACTCTACAGCACTTAACAACAACATTAAGAATATAAGGCCAACTAGACAAAAATGAAATTTTCATGGGAAGCATTTTCCACAATTGGCAAATCTAGTAGATTAAAGAAAAGTAGATTAAAGAAAAAGTAGAGAAGAATTAGAAAATCAGAATCCCTTAAATAGAATCTATAGTTTTTGTTGTAACCTTTGAACGTTTATAAAAGTGTTTGTGGCTAATTATATGGTCAATCTAAACAGATTTTGAAAAAGTAGAAACTTTCAGATTACATTCTGATAGTATTGGAATAAGATAAAAAAACAAATTATATCAAATAACCAAAAAGCTCTTAACTGCTAGTAAGTTAAAAAATACATTCCTAGATAATTCTCAGATCAAAGAGAAATAAAAGGGAAATTAGATAGTATTTAGAAAGCAATGAAAGGAGGTCATTTATAGGAAAACCAGTGTGACACAGTGAAGTGTGTTGTTATTAAGTGCCACTGAGTCGTAGTGACTCTGTGTAGGGTTTCCAAGGAGTAGTTGGTGGGTTTGAATTCCAACCTTGTGGTTTGTAGTCCAGTGATGATCCTAGTATTAAAATAACCTGTATTACTAAGAAAGAGGAAAAGGAATTCAGTACTCAGGTAACCTTTAGTAGTTTTTGTCTTACTATAGAAAGTTAGTCATTAAGCTTATGGCCAGAGCAGAGTGTGTTTATTGATTGACTCTTAGAGGGTCAATCTTTTGTATAAAAGTGTCTGTTTACTACAGTTCCAGTTAATGTTTCTTTTGTGTTGTGAAGAATTCCAAGAAGATGATTTAAAGTCCCAGGTTGGTAGCAATTCCTGGCAACTGACAAAATTCATATTCTCTCTACAGGAACACAGCTTCAAAGCTTTAAAGAATTTCCAAGGAGAAAATTCCAAGATACACTTAAAAAAAAAAAAATTCACAAAGAAGTAAGGCACCACAAATAAGACTTAGCAAGCAATAGATTTTAGATACTGGAATGATCAAAGACAAGAAAATAAGTTGTATATAGCATAACTTTAGAAATGAGAGAAATTTGAAAATCTCTTCAACAAACAAAAAACTATTAAATTAATAAATACCAAGGAAAAATGGAAAAGATCCAAGTATATCTAGAAATAAGGCGTGTCATTCAATAATGTTCACTGAATTACTTGAAAATGGTTAAATGACAATTTTTTGGCAATACAGTTACGACAATAAAATTAAACGAAACTCACATCATGCAATGAATTTATATTTAAAGAACGTGTTCAAATTCTCCATTGTTCTCCCCACTCATGCACCTCCTCTCCAATGCTTCTAGGTACCCGGACATCATTCATTCTATTCATCTGGCTCGGAAACCAAATTTGGGTCTAAAATCCTGTGATGGCAATCAGGAGCTGTTAAGCTTTCTTCGGAGTGATCTCATTGAAGTTGCAACAAGGTTACAAAAGGGAGGACTTGGATATGTGGAGGAAACATCAGAATTTGAAGCTCGGGTAAGAAAAGGGAACATTTTTGTGAGTGTTTAACTGTACTGTGAATTGAGTGAAAGTTTACAGAGCAGATCATTAGTTTTGCATTCAGCAAATCATACACTTCATTCCATCTCAATGACTGCAGTCTCTTCAGTATAACATCACTTATGTCACTTCCTCCCTGTATTTCTTGTTTCCATTCCTCCTCCTCTACTAACCCTTCGGGATTTTATCCTTGGTTAAAGGCTACCCTTTTGATCTCAAATGGTTGGTCTTTCTGGGGTGTGTGCACCTCACTTGTGCTGTTGTCTCCTCTCTATACCTATCTGTTGCTTGGCTGACAAATGAGCCATTGAGGTGAGTTCATGGCAGGTGAAGGGTGGTGGTCAAGGGCACCTCCAGTCAAGAGTTTCTCCAGAGTCTACCTGACTCTTTTTTTTTAATCATATGTTATTGTGTTTTTGGTGAAACTACACACAGCCGTTTAGGTTTCCTCTCAGCAATTTCTAGCAAGTTGTTCAGTGACATTAGTTGCAATCTTCACAATGTGTGAACATCCTTGTTTACGTTCTCATTGTTCCAGTTCTGTGCCCCCTTACATTATCATCTTTAGAATTCTTGACTGTGTGGTCCCACAGAGATGATTCATTAAAGAAGCACAGTAATTACGGGTAATATTCCTCATTTTTTGAGCCAGTTGTTTCGTTACAGGTTAGTTTTGGTTCATGGTATCTCAGGAAAAGAGGCTTAAAGAGTCCTTCAGTTTCACCTAGTCCATTGCATCTGTTATTTTTGTTGTAAGGAATTTAATGCTCTGTTTCATGGATTTCCACCATTCTGTGAGGTTCCATCAGTCTTGGCGTTGACAGGAATGGTAGCCTGACACCATGTAGTGTTTCTGATCTCAAAAGGAGATTAGGCCATGTTCATGTAGACTTCACTTATTTTGTAGACTAGATTTCTCCTTTGAAAGTTGGCTCTTCTCTCTTGATCTGAGTGAGTAGAGATCAGTAATGTTGTCTTAGATAGCTGCTCACAAACCTTTAAGACCCCAGACACTACACATCCCATTCGGATGAAGAATATCACCTGTGAGCTATATTTTGCTGATTGACTGATACATTCCAGGAGGTGTTTGGTTATGGCTAACAAGTACCCTTAGTTGTGCCCAGTGTATGGACACATGTTCCCACAGCCCTTGCCGTATGTCCAAACCTACATACGGGACCTAGATAAACACTGGACTACTGACTGCAAGACTGGCAGTTCAAACCCACTAGCCGCCTCCTCGGAAACGCTGCACGAGGTTGCTATGAGTTGAAACTGGCTCAGTGGCACTTAACAACAACATAGTAATTGCCAGCAGGTCCTTTTCCATGGAGACTTTTTAGTGATACGGTTTCCCTTTTTTTCTACCTGTCCCATCTCTGGTAGCCGCTGTGAACTTAAGGTTTTGTCTAGAAACATCCTTTTGAAAATTGTTTCTCATGGAAACTCAATTTGGAATTGTTTCCTGATATTTTCCTTGATCTTCCAAGAGAAGCCTTGAAAAATGTGAGGAACAAAAAATTCTCTATTTGTTGCATTTCCATCGTTATCTTCTGGTATCTAGAAAAACTTCACAGCTGCCATTGTTCTAGAATGAATGGCGTCATTTAACATAGACTATTTAATGCCTGTGTTTTCAAGTATGCAGCATGTTTGTATGTTGTTGTCATGTGCTGTGGAGTCAGTTCCGACTCAGTGACCCTGTACTGGGTTTCCGAGGCTAAAAATCTTTACTGGAGCAGAAAGCCTCCCCTTTCTCATGCGGAACAGCTAATAGTTTCAAATTGCTGACGGTTGAGATTAGCAGCCTAATTTGGAACCACTACGCTCCCAGAGCTTCTTAGCATGTTTGTATAGATCCTACTTTTTTTCTCTGCTTAGCTCATTAGAATTATGGACATCACTCATTGCCAGACTCATTTACAGTCTTGTCATTTACTGCTCAGAAGGACCTTAAGTGGCATAGGTGAAGACTTGAAGAGACCCCAGACCTCATTTTTTGGTTTAGATATCAAAGCTGGAGAGAACGTTATTGTCTGCTGTCCATCAGGTATTGTGGTTCTCACTGATTGTAAGTCACATGTGTGCCGTTCTTTTCAAGTTAGTCATATATATGGATAATCTAATAGTTGATTTTATGAGTGGTTATATAGTTTTTTTCATCTTATAAACACTATTCATTTCTTTCACTTAATAATTTTTGTTGGTATTGATTTTACTTAGTCTCTTTAATTAGTCTTGAAACAATCTCATTGTATGTTTCCTGGCATAAAGGGTTTAAGCATTTTTAAGATGCTTCAAGATTTTTCGAAGAATTGCTCAGCCCAAATGATTTTGCCAGTTTCAAATATTATTCATGCCTTTTCATTTATTTACTAAATATTTATCAGTTGCCTACTTGTGCCACACCCAGAGCTTGGCCAATAATGAGTTATAAGCTTACTTGTTTCTGTTTGTTAGGTATGTGTCATGTGGGACTGGTGAGGTGCGTGCAGTATTGGTGAGCCTAATTTTCATCACGTCACATAGCTTCTGTTCCATCGTCTGTAAAGTATATGTGAGGAAGCAGAAATGAGAGACCAACTGCATAAACCATCTTACTTGGCAGATAGGAAACACTCTATGAAGTGAAGTTTGACTCTTCCTCTAGGCTTGTCTTTGTCTTAGGACTGTAGCTTGACTTTTTAGGCATTGGTAATTGGTGACTGAATGTAACTTCCTCAAGTAGAGCATGTTTCAGCAGTTGGAATACCCTGCCCTGGGGAAATGGCAGAGTCATATACTCTTAACTCGGTAAGCTGACCAGTGCTGAGTGCTGCGTAACTCCAGGAAGCCAATTAGGTTAATGCCGTGTAGCCCCTTTGACAGTTAGGTCTGGTTTGATTTGAATTGAGTCTAGGGTGGTCTCTTTTCATCTTGCTATTAGCCTTTCTCTTAGTCTAATTTTTAAATAATTTCTTGTAGGTGATTTCGTTAGAAAAACTGAAAGATTTTGGTGAGTGCGTGATTGCCCTTCAGGCCAGTGTCATAAAGAAGTTTCTCCAAGGCTTCATGGCTCCCACACAGAAGAGAAGAAAACTCCAAAGTGAAGATTCCACAAAGACGGAGGAAGTGGATGAAGAGAAAAAAATGGCAGAGGAGGCAAAGGTACCTATTAGAGATGTAGGTTTATGGTTGTGTAGAAGATTGTGATCTGACTGTAGCATAGTCTAACCCTGTATAATACCTCTTAACTGTTGTAAGCACTGTACTTTCCAGTGTGGTTTTCAGTATGGACTCTGGAGCACAGCCCTGGCATTGCCTCTATGGGGTCAGTGGTAGTCAGAGCTGATGCTCCTTTTGAGAAAGGTGGTCTTTGGTCATTTTTAAAAACTTTTACTTACTTTGTTGTTGGCACTGGGTGGGACTTGCTTCACATTTTACGCAAGCTCAAAGTCAGCATAACACTTTATAAGTAAAATAGTAATGTGACAATTCTTCTAAAAACTCAAAATAGAACTACCACTGTTACTGTTGGTAGGTGTCCTTGAGTTGATCCCAACTCATAGTGACCCTCTGGCCAACAGATTAAAACACTGCCCTGTCCTGTGCCAGCCTCACAATTGTTGCTCTGCTTGAGCCCATTGCTGCTGCCACTGTGCCAATCCATCTTGTTGGAGAGCTTCCTCTATTTTGCTGACCTTCCACTTTACCAAGCACGATGTCCTTCTCCAGGGACTGGTCCCTTCTGATAATATATCTGAAGTATGAAGTCATCCTGACATCTAAGGAGCATTCTGGCTGTACTTCTTCCAGCACAGATCTGTTTATTCTTCTGGCAGTCCATGGTTAGTTGTCAACCTGACATCTTTGCTCTTGAACACTTTTAAAAGGTCTTATGTAGCAGATTTGCCTAACGTAATCCATTGTTGGATTTCTTGGCTGCTGCTTCTTCCACAAGTGTTGATGGTTGATCCAAGTAAAATGAAGTCTTTTGACAACTTCAATCTTTTCTCCAGTTTTTCTGATGTTATTTGTTGGCCCAGTGGTGAGACTACCACATGGCGCAGGATATCCATTCCTAGCTATATCCCCAAAGATTTTTAAGCAGAGACTCAGATACTTGCACAACAGTGCTCAGAGCAGAACTTTTCTTTAATGAGAACAACTTGTTTTCAGCTGCTGCCTCTGGGCCTTACACAGCCTGTGTTCTCAGTCTCTGCTCTTGGTTGGGCCTGCTCTGGCAAGTGTTAAAAAAGCTCTTTCTTTAGCTCTTGTTGGGTGCCTGGAGGCATCCTACTCCTAGGTCCCCACGGTCCACTGTGCCATTTTATGTCAGCATCCTGGTTCTGTCGCTGACATTCTCTTTGCTGCTCAATTCTCCTTGTACGGTGCTGGGGGATCAATATGGGACTGTGAACCACAAAGTCAGCAGTTCAAACTCACCAGCTGCTCCTCGGAAACCCTATACAGGGTTGCTGGGAGTTGGAACCGGCTTGACACAGCGCTTTAACCACATCAAACTCTGCTGTGCTTGCTGTCACTCTCATTGGTGTGACCCTTTATGTGTGTCTCCAGTTTGTGCAGTTTTCTCTCCGGGGTCTCGAAGGTTCTCAGCACAAGGATCCTATGTACAAAAGATGCTCTCCGCATCCAGCTCTTCTTGATGGTAGTGAGGTTCTCCTTTACCTAGTGGAATGGCAGAGCTGACCAGTCCCTTCATGATGGTTTCGGATGCCTTATTTGTATGGTCCTCTGCAAGGGTTCCATGTCCCTTATTTGCATTTTTAGCAGACTGTCCAATTCTGTTTGGGCCACAGCATCTTATTTCTTTGTCCCTCGCAGTCATTTTGCGGGAGTTACGAGAGCATGGCTAGAAGAGCCATATAAAGGAATTTACTGTGTTGCAGATACCTCGGGCAAATTAAAGATTTCCTGGAAGGGCTAACACACATTCAGGTTTGAGGAGTAAGTAGGAATTAATGTTAGCATGTAATGAGGTAAAGGAGCATGCTGTTGGTTCCCTTTCAGTTGCTTCTGACTCAGCCATCCATACAGGACAGAGCAGAAGTGACCCACAGGGCTTCCTGGCCTGTGATCTTTATAATAGCAGATTGCCAAGTCTTTTCTCCCAGAGTCTCTGGTGAGTTTGAACTGCCAGTATTTTGGTGGATAGTCAGGTGCTCTGTTGGGCAACCCAGTCTCCTTGGAAGGAAGAAGCATGTTGTTAAGTTCTATTGAGTTGGTTCCAACTCATAGTGACCTTGTATAGGGTTTCTGAGGAGTGATGGGTTGGTTTAAACCTCCAATCTTGTGATTAACAGTCCAGTGCTTACCCTACAGCATCACACCAGGATTTCAGAAGGAGGCATTGTTGTTAGGTACTGTGGAGTCCTTTCTGACTCATAGCGATGTTGTATAGGACTTCTGAGGAGTGGCTGCTGGATGTGAACTGCCAACCTTGCTGTTATCAGTCCAGTGCTGATCCTACAGTGCCACACCAGGACTCTAGAAGGAGGCATCACCTGTTAAATGGAGCTGAAATGGACTTCCTTGTTTTACTTTCCCAGTGTACCCAGAATGAGTTTATTCTCTCCTCCCCCTCCTTTTCTTAAAGCTCCTCAAATGTTTGTACACAATTAAAGTTTTCCATAAGTTTCTTCCTGAGGCCGGGGTGATAATGTGATGCAGGGACATTCATTTTCAGTAAGGGGTAAGCAGAGCAGTAAACTCAGATTCAGTAAGGTGATGGCTTAACTACTAAATCATGCCTTGGACTCATCATCAGCTTACTGGGATTTAGTTCCCATCTTCTTTTGTGCTCCTTTTATGTTTTAAATAGTTTATTGTTTCATTTGTCCAGAATATACTTTCTAATATACAGTTGAGGGACACTGACTAAGCATCCTCAGCAGCTACTCTTTAGGTCATTATTGTAAATGTACCACACACCTTTTGTCATTTCAGCCTGTTACAGGTGTACAGCTTGTTGACATCAATGACATTAATTGGCTGTGCAACCTTCTTGTAAGGTGATTTTTTCCCCATCACTGTAAAACGAAACCTTTCCTTTTCCTCATCCACCTGTAATCCACCTGGTAACCACTAATAAGCTCCGTCTCTATACGTTTACTTTTTCTCGTCTACATATGTAAGTGAGACGATACAGTGTTTGTCCTTATGTGACTTAACTTCACTCAGTATAATGTCATCAAGCTCTATTCCTATTGTAGCATGTATCAGGCCTCCATTTCTCCTGCTGGCTGTATAACTATTCCAGTGTATATATGGACCACATTTTATTTATTCCGTGATTTATGGGTATTTAGGCTGTTTCTGCCTTTTGGCTATTATGACTAGTGCTTCAGTGAACACTGGTCTACATGGCTCTGTTTGAGTCTCTTGTTTTCAAGTCTTTGGGGTATCTACCTAGGGGTGGAATTGCTGGGTCATGTGGTAGCTCTGTTTTTAGTTTATTGCAAAGCTATTTTTCACAGTGGCATTTTGCATTCCCATTTGTTGTTACATGCAATCCAGCCGATTCCGACCCATAGTGACCCTGTATAGGGTTTCCGAGGAACAGCTGGTGAGCTTGAACCACCCACCTTGCAATTCAAACGGCTTTGCAGCCTGAAGCCATTTACCCACAGCGCCACCCCAGGACTCTTGCATTCCCACTAGCAGTGGATAAACGTTTCCGTTTCCCCCTATCCTCAGCAACATCTGTTCTTTACCATCCTAGTGGGAGTGAAATGGTAATCTCATTGTGGTTTTGAGTTCCATCTATAGTGGCTAATGGGACTTCTGGTGTGTCACTGGAGGATCAGCACTGGACTGCGAACCACAAGGTCTGCAGTTCAAACCCACCAGCTGCTCCTCAGAAACCCTATACAGAGTCATTATGAGCCCGAGCTGACTCCACAGCACTTAAAAACAATAGTGGCTAATGACTCTGAGCATCTTTTCATGTGTTTAGTGGCCATTTGAATATGCTCTTTGGTGAAATGTCTATATAAGTCCTTTGCTCATTTTATGATCGGTGTGTTTTTTTGTTGTTAAGTTGTTGACGTTTGTATGTGTGTGTGTGTATACACATACATTTTTTCAAGGTTATTAGATTCTTATTGGATATACAATTTCTGAAGATATTTCCCCAATCTGTTGGTTGACATTTCACTTTTTTTGTAAAGTCTTTATGATTTTACAAGGTCTCATTTCTTTCTTTCTTTTTTTTTTAAATAATGTTTTATTGTGAATTATGTGATAGTTACATGGGAGAACATTAGTTTTACATTCATCCTATCTTATATTATTTAATTGCTATGGTTACAATCCCCTCCATGCATCATCAATCAACCAAAGGGTACACACTACATACAAGCCTCCCCCCCGGTTGTCAGCACACAGCCCCTCTCTCTGTGTGTATGTCCAAAGTCCCCAACTGCTCCATCTCTCCATGTGATCATCTCTGCCTCCATCTCAGGCAGTCACTGCCTCTCTGGGTAGAGTCCCGCTTTCTGCTCTTCTCCTTTGATGGTCCCAGGGACTCCCGCTCCTAGACTGAAAAGTTAATCACTCCCCTTCTTCCTATAAAACATCTACCTTTACATTTCCAACCCTCACAAGCAGTCCTGATAACAATTATTCACTATTGTATCACAAGAGATCCATCTGCCTACTCAGTGGAGATTCTACCTTCCTCCATGCCCTCTGAATGAATCTAGGTTCCCTCTTGAAAGCTTGTAAGCCAGTCGCTTGCCTTTGTAGGCAAAAACCCCTCCCCATTTTGGGTAGCCAATGCCCAAGTTGCCCATCCCTGTCTACTCTGTGTATGGAGGGGGTGGGAATGATCCTTGCTGTAAGGATTTGTTTCCTCTTTTGAGCTACTGCATCCATACGTGTAGGTCTCATTTCTTTTGTCTTTTGTTGTTTGTGCGGATGTTATTATATTAGATAATCCATTGTTAAAAACTAGCCTGCTAGCATTTCCCCTGTCTTGTCTTCTAAGAATTTATTGTTTTACTGTTCGCATTTAAGTCTTTAATCCATTTTGCATTTGTTTTTGCGTATGGTGTGATGCGTGCATCCTGTTTGGTTTCTATGTATGTAGAAATCAACTTTTCCAAGCACTGTTCATTGAAGAGTTCTTTGTTCTGTATCCAATGGAC